CTTCCTTCCTTCCTTTAAAAACTATGATTCACCTTCTTTCCTCCTTTAAAATAATTTCATTTAGGCTCTAATCCGTTCTTGTATGCATAACCAAAGGGCTGCCTTTGGCCTGCGGGCCACCAGTTGATGACCACTGCTGTAAAGGCAACTGTCTGTGTTTCCACTGTATAGCCCAGGACTGAAATATGTAGAACAACAATACAGAAAAAGATACTTTTTATACTAGCATTAATCCCCATGTCTTCTGTGTGATTATGAACACAAAGCAGAAGAGAGCATGAACATTGCGGTGATGTCGGTGATCCCAAGCTCAAGCACACACCAGGTGACTGAACATGTGGCTCATGGATGCATTATGTATCAGTAGTTAAGTCTCTGTTTGATACAATATGTTCCAGGACTAGTAACTGACACATATAGGTCACCAGAATGCACCTCCGACCAACTGCTTGTGGTATCGCTGCTTTGATCACGATGGTATGTTTTTAGATGAGCTACATTACATCTGAAACCCGTGATGCAACACTGAGGCAAGGCAACGTTGAGATGCAAAATGGTTATCTCTGACGATCTGGATCAGGCAGCTCGTCTCCTTCTACTTTGTAGATGTCGTCACCGAATGTGTGGAAACGATCAGTCAGTCAGCGAGGACAGTTGCTTAAATTTTCTTTACGTCTAAAACAACTCACGTTGAGTGGATGAGAAGACTCGTGCGAATGAGCTTAACAGGGAAAAAAAGTTGAAAGAGATGAGAGAGTATTGTTTTTTTCTTCTTCTTCTTCTTTTAAGCAGAACTGACTGTGTGAGATCAGAGAGAGGGTTTATAGTTGATGAGTTTGGTGAGGTTTTTTTTTGTCTTCCAAACTAAGAGCTTCTGCTCATTCACAACAGATCAAAAAGTTCTATCTTGCCGTTTCCTTCAGGGGTTTAACCCCAACCCAACCACCACGTGTGAACGGACAGTTAACAAGTCAAAACATACGGCAGTGACTTGGTCACTTAAACGATGTAGCAACAACAAGGATGATGAAACGCCGTGGTCTACTCAGCACTTCTGTCCGCCTGGGGCTGGTGGGAACACCGTGGTCTGTTTCGAAACAAAGCCAAAACATGTCATGCGTTTCTGTAACACTTGTTACGTATTCATCGCTCTTCCAGTGCTCAGTATTTTTATTTCTCTGGAGGAGAATGCACAAAGAAATTTGGATGTGTACCTTCAACCAGGCTTTTGGGAACTTCTAACTGTCACTGACTCATATAGTGCATAGTTTCCTGTTATACTTCCTCTTAATGACCTAACAAATAAATAAAAAAATGTATAAAGAAATATTAGGTTTTCAAAATTTTTCCCTAGAATTCGTTTCTTTATGCAATACGTCAGGCTATTTTTGGTCACTTCTACTTCCAGGAAAACATGCAACACCACCTTAAAGATAAGGTGGCTAAATACTCTTTCTATGCCACAAAAAAGTACCAAGTCTACTGGAGGTAAATCATTCTTCCTGAAATAAACCGCAGTAAGACCAAAAGTACCTAAGAAACCAGACAGTAGAGTTATTGACCTTTTTTTTTTTTTTTTTGAACAAAATGAAAGCTCATGTGAACAATGAATAAATAAAGTACCACCCACTGCCTGCATTGACAGGCTACAGTATAGAAAATTGTTTCTGACAGGCTGGTTTTTACACAATGTTTAGCCGCTGACTTACCCGGTGCATGGAACCATTTCTAGCATCAGAAAGCTTCAGTGACAGTTGGCTTCTTTCCCTCGGTAACGTCTGTAGATGTACTGGGCTGGGCTGCCAAAAAAAAAAAACCTCTGTTAACCAGGTAAAAAAAAACTGATGTCTATTGTTTGTTTACTCTGTGAGATTATTGTGGTAAAGCTTTTTTTTTTTTTTTTTTCAAAATCCTTGGTCTTGCATTTCTATAGTAAGCTAGCGGGCCGGTTTTGGCCTGACTCCTACGACAGAGCAGGGGTGTCAAATGAAAAAAAAAAATTTCATTTTTTTTTCTTTTTTTTTTTAAAAACA